AGGGATGAGGGATTATCCATCCACTGACATATCATAAATGTGTTACAGACAGTCTTGAACCATCTGTGGATATCTGATCTGCCAATAAAAGAGATTGACAGGGGCCTGCTGGCCTTCATTAACTCAAGATGGAAAGCAATTTGTTTGCCATTATCTTTGTTTCAGAGTTAAAGCTGCCCTGACTGAAAACAAGGCTAGGAAGGACCTGTACCTTGGGCTGGCCTTTCTCTGCTTTTTGTCTCCATCAGCCAGACTACCTGCATATACACCCATTGTACTGTCTTCACATGGGTAGCCCCTTGCAGCTTCTGTCTGTGGCACCTCTTCTGGATCTTCTGTTCCTCTGAAGATCATGGTACCTATCTAGTCATAGGCTTTGTTCACAGTATTTATCTCACTGTAGCATCCACAGTAAACTTTCCTTTTTTTCTTCTTCCTTTCCATCTCTTGCACAGGTACCCATTCATTACATCCACCACTCTATCTTATTGGTGCATCCATCCATCTTGCATGTCCAACTGCCTGCAATATTGCTCCAACCCTACGTCCTGCAGCATGGGCAGCTGGTGCCTCCCGAGTCTGGGGAGGGGGGGCACCTGCAGGCACTGTAGGCAGCGTCAGTGGCGGGGCTGGAGCTGGTGAGCTCCCGCAGTTGGTGTCGGCGATGGGGGCGTAGCTGGTGAGTGCACCGGCGGTGGTGGCAGCGGGGCCAGAGCTGGCAAGCTCCTGCAGGTGCTGCCTGTTGGGGGGGTGGGGGGGGTTGGCTGTGCCCCACCCTACCCCCGCTACGCATCGCCAATGCCCTGCAGTAGCTCATCCATATTTCTGACCAGAGATTGAATTAAATTGCCCAATGCCTCTGGCAAAACAAGTGGGACTTGGGGTCATATGCGGATCATATAGTGTCTGCATGATGGAGATGGTCAGAGACATTGTCAAGGATCAGATGTCTGTTGGTTAGTAAACATATTTATTCATTAACTTTTCCCTGCTCTTTGCTAGCTAGAAACCTGTGAAGGATGAACAGTCCTGAGAAGTAATAGATCCAGAGCACATGTTAGTGCATAAGTCCGTACATTACATAGGCCTAGGGGAATGCAACCTTGATCCCTGGGAACTTGCTTGTCCCAGTTGCATTCTTAACAGGGTGGCAAGGTTGTACAGGGGCCCAAGACTCATTGTAACATTTAGGCAGATATATTGCAGTCATAGACATGGTTTGTATTCAGCTAAGGGCACCTGACAGTGCCTTGCCAACTGACTAGGATAAGCCCTGGGTGTCATCCTATAAATGCTCATAGCACTGTTATGCTGCTGACCCTTTAACTGTGTCTGTGTAGCAGATCAGTCCAGTCTTCCTGCCTTTGAGCTTTTAGTAGAATGTTATTCTACATTGCCCTTCCTTGACTTCTTGCCTCAGCAGCATATTGGATCATCTTACAACTCAGCTCTGTTCACTGGAACAGCCAAGATGCAATCTGCCTTTGGGTTTATACTTGGAGCAGACCCAGATCTGTCCATTAAGGATGTGGGGAAATGGAACGTCATTGTTAGATGCTGGTTAATGGAGCACCTGATCTTTGGTAGCTTCAGTCCTAAGTAGAAAAATAACATTTTCATGACACTAAAAAAAAAAAAAAAAAGCAGACGAGAAAGTTCAGGATGGCTGGGGCAGTACATGGGCTTCTGAGCAGAGAGCTGCTGCTCCATCTGCCTCCACAGTCCCTGGACATTTGTACACATGATGCCATTAACATATATACATGATGAAAATGTCACTTTGTATGGCTTAATGACGTTAGAGTGTACATGTGCAGGACTTTTGGGGGGTCTTAAATGACCTTGCATTATTGCAAACTGAACTACATCTGGATGTACAGGTCAGTTGCGCATCATACGCGCATTTAACTTGCGCGAATTCAACTATACGCGGGGGGTGGGGAGGGCTTGAGTTTGCACGCGTGCCTGGAGCTGTGTGGCTGGCTGCCAGGCATCAGCAGCAGTGTGGTGGTGGCTGGGCGGCACGCAGCCATCCCCGCCACCACCCTGCGCTGTGCCGCTGCCGCTGGCTGCACAGCTCTAAGCACGGCTCTGCGGCAGCGGCAGGAGGTTTTGGAGGCAGAGGCAGTCACTGCTGGCATGGTAATATGTGATTTCACTCTACGCGATTTTCTCCTTACACTCTGCCTTTAGAACATAACCCCCGCGTAAGATGCAACTGACCTGTAGTTTAGTTTGCAATGTTGCAAATTGCAACAGTGAAGCTGTTGGCTCACCCTCCCAGCCATGGGAGAGGTGGGCAGGCTCTGCAGAAGAAAAGGATCGGGCCTCTCGCCGCTTGTGCTTTTAGCAGTTTGCTGTGGCTGGCTGGATGCCTGGGGCTGCTTGGGAAAGAGCTGGCTTGCCCTAAGGGCAGCACGGGGAGGCAGCAGGAGGGTGGCTGGGTGCCCTGGCAGTAGGAGAAGGTGGTGGAGATGGTGTACAAGGCACTGGAAGTCCAGATGGACTCATGGGGAAGTTGGATCAGGTGCCTCTGAACTGGGGCAGCACCCGGCCCACCTGTAACCTGCCTGGGCAGCCCTGGGGGGTACCACTGGTGAGGAGGAAAGGACCAGAGCCTCCCATAGCTCAGGGACTGCTCGGTCCACTGGCAGCTTGCCCCCTGGCTGCAGGCAGGCTCCAGCTCTGCCAAAAGAACAAAAAAATAAGGATTGGACCCCTGGCCATAAAGCGATGGAAAAATTGGAATGATTTAGTCCCCAGAGTTTTATTTTATGTCCCACCATTTGAATTTAGGGGGCATAGAATAAAGCTTTGGGTCACATGTACAAGTGCCCCCCTGTGCTCCCAGGTCATAGCTTTGGGATACTTGGAGTGTGCCATGCTCTCTTTCAACCTAGAGCCTGTTCTGAGTCCCTCTGTGTCCCACTGTAAGAAAATACTTCAGATTATTTCTTAGACCTGCAGGCTTCATCCAAACACACTCTTCTGCCTTTGAAATGCAGGATAAGGCTCAGATGTTCAACTGGTCCTTAAAGTATGAATTTCAGGTGGTATTATGCTATGTAGAACAAGAATGTTTTGGTGTATTTAGCTTTCCTGTTGGCCCCATAGCATTTAATAATGTTCTCTATGAATCCTTTTAGAAACCCACACGATTTTTTGGAGAACAAAGTCCTGCCTAGGAGATATTTGAATCATCTTATAAAATTTGATAGCAAGGATAGGGTTTTTTTATTCCATAACATGGGATGGTTCAAAAAACCTAGAGAGAGTAGTCCCCTTTCCATGACATTCTGTAGCAGGTTCCCATGGTGGATTCTAGGAGAGGGTGGGATAGAAGCACAGTTGGATAGAGAGGCTGATTCTTCATTACTGTGAATTTTGACCATCCCACCTCTCGTTTAATCACTGGTTTGATCTTATTATTACTTCTGCCTTGCTGAGTCCCAACCACTTCCTTGGGCCACCAGTAGGGGTGTGTATTAGGAAGGCATGGGGTAGCACAGGATTGTCCAAGTTTGGAACAGCCAGGGGTTGCATGCCACATAAGCCTCCCCACCCGCCTCCCTGCTCCGAGCACACGGTGCAGGTGGTAGCATCAACACTTCCCTCCCACTTGCCTGTTTAACATGTGACAAGCCCCCTCCTACCGTGTTGCCTGCTGGCACTGGATTTATGACCCAGATACTTTGTTTTGGGTGGACCCAAACTTTCAGACCGATCATGACTTTTTTAGTAGATAATAGGTAAATGTTATTGATACACCATGATAGCAGATGAGAATAATGTAGGCAAGGCAAACAATTTTATATTTACTAGTCTTAAGGCTGTTACAGAGGGAAGTTACATCTGGCCAGAACGTGAGCTTTACCCTGAGGTTTTTTTTTTAATCTTAGATGTCAGCAGCCTGGAGGTCGAGGGCCGAGGCCTGCGCTTCCCCTCCTTCCACCCTGAGAGATGGGTGAGATGGACTGGTGGTGTGTGCTCTGTTCATGGTAGCCTAGGGTTTCCCTTTTGGGGACCCTTTGCTGCGCTGAAATTTCTTCTTCTGCATTCTTTCTCATTCTCTGATAACTCTTTATCTTTAGGTACTGTTGATTGTTTTTTTTTTGGTGGTGGTTGTCACACTTTTTACATTTTGTCCTGCTAACATATTTTTTTTTTGTTTTAACAAACCAATTACGTGCACACATCTTAATTTGATTATTTATTGGTCTCCTCATTTAGTTGGTTTACCAAAACTGGAAATTTCAAGGGTTCTGCAGCTGAGCACTATGATCTAATGCCACCTTATTTTGTGTTATGGAAGTGTGGTACATGTCTCCAATTTCTTAGCCTGTGTATGCCCACTTGTTTCTTGGCCTCAGACATGGTGCCTGTTAGTTTTAGAGACAGTGGGCCTTGAAGGAAATGTCACAAACAAGCAATTAACCCTTGCTGTTGTCCTGGACCATTGTTCTAGTACAATATCTACTCTACCTACAGGCCAATTTTCAAAAGCAAACCTTTAAATATTACTTTTTAGTCATCACTGCTGTGCCCCAGAAACCCTGGCCACCCCAGCAGCAGGAGAAATGGGGAGGGGTTGGGGGGAGGAGTGGGGATGGCAGTATTTGAATGGAAGCCTGCAGGCCATACAGTAACTCCTTGAGGGTAGATCTGGCCCATGAGCCACTACTTGGACAGCCCTGGGGATAGGAAGTAGGGATGAAGGGTGTAACCAGTGGAAGTATGAAGGTGGGGAAGACTTTTGGCCACTTTTGGTGTTCATTGAGGGACTAGAGGTATCCAAAGAAAGAAGAGGGTCTCAGGAAAGAGAGCAAGAGCTAGGGGGAAGGCAGGTTTCCTGCTGTGGGCAAGAGGAGCATGGGGAGAACAGAATCTGAATTTACATGCTTCAGAAGAGGGCCTGTGACACCCTGAAGTTATAGAGAAGGGTAAGTGTGAGCTGAACTGACAGCTGTCTTCAATAACTGAGTTCTCCTTCCCCATTGCAGCTCTTTTGGGCATTTCCAAGCGAAGGCACATGGTCTGGCTTCAGGGTCACCGACGAACAGTGAAAGTCTACGACAGGGGCTGTGTCTGACCAGGATTTCTGTCACCAAGGTAGGCACCAGTGGCTCACGCTGCTTAATCATGTTAGGTGGGTGATCTGCATGCCCTCCCACTGAGCCCAGAGAAAGTCAGCACAGGGCTGAGGGAACTAGACCCCCAGGAGCTAGTAGAACCATGCTCATCACCTTGAGTTGGGGATCTGGCCTGTTAGCTTTAAAATATCCTGTACTCAGCACTTAACAGAATTCAGATAAAAAAAGGGCTAGGTCCTGAACTTTGCCATATCTGCATTTAGCAGAGCTGAAGAAAGAGGGACCCAAAGCTGCTTTCAACAGACATCGCTTCCCCTGTTCTGATCCATCCTGCTGTCAGTCTCATCTCTCAGTGTAGCTTAGAACACCCTTAGGTCTAATCTAAGTTACAGGCACAGCCATAAGGAGCTTTTCCAGCAATCAGGAACTGCCAGGGTGGAAGAGTTGTCACCTCGCTCTGCTAGTCCCCATGCCGTGAGCCACAAAGTGGTTGGTGGTTGATAAGTTAACCACAACTCTCTGCTACACCCCCACACAAAGGGAATCCTGAAGGAGCAGGTAAAGTCAGTTTGTAGCTCCCTAGAATATTTGCATTTTTATCAGCTCAAACTGCTTCTTTCATAAATCTGAAGTTCACTGCGAATAAACAATACTGTCTCAGGTGCACCACAATAAATGGAAACAAATGTACCACATCAGTGGTTCCCATAGCTAGGCCTTCAAGTCCCTCCTACATTGCTCCTGGGCATAGGAAATTTAGTTTTCCACAAAACATGTTTTTTTTTCAAGGTGCCAGGGAAAGGAAAGCATGGTATTGCCTCTAGCATGTTACTCAGCAGTGGACCAGCAAATGTTGAGGTCACTGCTCCATACTGTAAAATAAGAGTAGACACATGTACCTTCTGAGAACTATCCCACATTTCATGGTAACACAGTCACATAGATGAATATGTTGTGCAACTGAACCAAACATGTTATTTATTCATGCCATTGCTGCCCATGTAATGATGTGGACATTTTGCATGGAACTGAAAGTATGGGAGAAGGGAAAGGATGATTGTTTAAGGGATGCTAATATTTTTGGGTGCGAGTGCCTTGCAGAAGTCCCAGGGCTGGGAGTTGAAACCTGCATGGAGCCCAGGTTTTTGTGATGGCAACTTTGATATTGCAGGAGTCTCCTGTCTCTCTTGCTGTAGTGATCAGTCCTTAGCTCCAGTAACATGGGTGGAGAGCAGCACACTGGTTTCCCCCTCTTCTAAGACGGTCACTGCACATTGCAGTGTATAAATATTTTGTCACTCCAGGTGACATTCTCCATCAGAGTCTCGGCGTCTGTACCAGAAATTCTCTTCCCCTCCTCAGACAGCCATGTGAGGTCTTTGGGGGTATCTTTTAGCAGTACCTGGCATAGCTCCTCGCCAACCATAGTAAGCAATGTTACATTTAGTTGGCATTAAAGCCCAGAGCTGAAACCTCATCTCCCTGGGGCTGGAATTGCCTTAACATATGTGCAGAATATTGGAGCTCTCCTAGATCGGCTTAAGGCTTGGCTGCCCCCAGAGACTGGCTGGTGATTAGGCCTTGATGCAGCAAGTTAAGGGGATATTTTTCTTTTCCTTGAGGGGCTCTAACTCCTCAGTATTGATTTGAGAGTCCAAGAGGAGCCTCCTGCCTCACTTTGGGTTTGAGAGCACGGGAGAAAGGGAAGTTAACGACAGGAGGCATCACTCAGAACATCTGTCATGCATTGGCAATGAGACATATTTGAAGACCTTCAGAAAGGGCATCCACAATATGCCTCTTGGCTATATCAAGGCAGAGCTCACATTTCCTGAGAGCAGAAGCATTTTCCTAGAGGTTTAGTATTGGTCGGGGGGAGCAGTTAATGATGCTGGTGACTTATCACTCGTGTGTAGAATCAGTTGGTGTTGTGTTTTCTGACAGTAGACCAGATATTTCTCTAACGGCAGATACAGAGTCCAGTGGGACAGATTCTGATTTCTGTTACAACACCTTTGGTTCAGATGAACTCCACTGAAGTCAGTACAGGTACAGCAGCCTAGCTGGGGGTAGGTGCTGACTCTGGCTGAAGGGATAATAACCTGAGTCAGAATCCCAAGATCCAGCCACACTGGAACTTCGAAGGACTTTGTATCTTGTCCCCATTTCTTTTATGAATAACACTTTGAACTTGCACAACATGATATCGTTTGAAGACCTAAAAGCATTTTATAGCCATTTTTTAATTCTGCCTCATCGCTACTCTGCTCATTGGTAAGTACCTCACTTTATAGTGGGGGAAACTAAACCACAGAGGGGGCTAAGGGTGAAATCCTATTTCTCCTTTACTTGCCCCAGGGGCCATTAAGTAGTTGTCCAAATGGATTTTTTGGCACTAATGTGGTGTTTGGATTCTGTTTTTACCTGTGGCAGAATAGAATTACTATGGTGCACACGTACCTTTAAGAAGTAAAAGTACAGGACAACTTGCAGAAAGGGTTTTGCCCTGGTCCCAGTCTACAATGGGGCAGAAACTAGCCCACTGAGATTTGCCTATTTTATCTGGTGATTATTAAATACAAATGCAAAAAAGCCATCCAGGTGTCTAGGGGCTCCTCCATTTGAAGGCAGCATCCATCTCACCCTGCTACCTTTCCTTTGGCTTGTCGTCATCGTCTTGTCCACACATACCATTCTCTCCTGGCTGCCCAGGGGACTAGTTTCAAGAGAGAGATTGGAGAGACCTCTAAGCCTTGTTCAGCCCATGTCCTGGTGGTTACAACATTTTGCTAAAAGCAGAAGATGATGGTTCAAGTCATGTTTTTTCTGACCAAAGTTTCAAGACTTCCATAGCACTGTGCTTGTCATTGGGCACTTTTGTTCTACCCTGGAACATACAAGACCATAACGGAGCCTTCTGAGCATACTCCAAAGGGAAGCACAAACCAAGTGCAGCTCCTCAAAGGCAGATAGAATTGAAGCCCTGTGCAAGTGCCAAAAACAGCTGTGTAATTGCTGCTTAGGCAGGTAAAGTTAAAATTGGAGTTAGTCCTAAATGGCTTAATCAAAGCTATGCAGCAATACTGACAGAACTGGGAATAGAACCTAGGGGCCCTGGCTCCTTGTTTCTTTTTCTACCCATTATATATTGACTATATTTAGAAGAAGACCTGATACAGAAAAAAGAGGCTTGTGGGCCAGTGAATCACAATCTTTAGATGTGCCTGCTGACCACATCTGAAGATTAGGCCCTGTTTAAATGGGGAACTGTTATTTTTGCCCAGAAGGTCTCGCTATGAACTGATATACTGTACATAAAATATAAATTAAAACTAGCAGCAGACTTGACCAGCAGACTCATTTTGTGCATAATGGTGGGAGCAGCATAAAAACATTAATCAATGCAGTGGGCTTCAAATATTTATGGTTGGGTTAGCAGTTTTCTTGATGAGAAGTAAGGTGAGATGACTTGCGATGAGGTAACTCCAGATGTTTTCATATGGAATCTTTATTACCCTGATGGGACAGATCAAACAGATGTTGATGGTGGATTTAGCTCATACACTGCTCTTAGTGTCCGTGGAGCGTGACAGTGCAGCTGGCTGGGGGAGGGCTGACAAAAAAGTCATTCTAATGGGAATTGTACTGGTTTTGTCTCACAGCTGAACCACATGGTGACAGAACAGCTGGTGATGTGTGGAGTCCCAGCAGTGGGCATTTCGGTAAGGGGTGTGTGTTGTTTGTCTTCTGGGTGCTCTCTGTCTCTCTTGGAAGGGAAGAATTTTGAGGGATGGAAAGAACAACTTTCAAGTTTTCCAGGAAGCCTGACATCTCAGCACCTGAAGAGGTTGCTTTCAGTTCAGCTGGTAGAACTCCTGTCTATGAATTATAGTAGTTCGCTTCAAGTCCCAGCTCCTCTAGCTGATGCACGTACACTTTGAATATATCCAGTGCATGAGGCACTTTGCTACTTCATTTATTCCACATTGGAATGAAGTCACCTGATTGTCAGATCTCATACAAGCCTGAATACTGGGGCTAATTTGCATAATATGGCGTTACACCAATGATTCTCAACCAGGGTGCTGTACCACCTTAGGAAGCCTTGAGATCCATTCAAAGGTGCCATGGAGTGCCACACAACATTAGTTCTGTTAGGTGTGCAAATATGATTCATGAGATAAATCCAGAAGGCATGTCCCCCATGGACAGGAAAGTGCATTTCCTGGGGACAAACAACAGTGCAATATGTGCCACTGCTACTTGTCCCTGGGCAACGCTCATGCATGCACACTCTGTTACTCCGCACGTTGCCCCATCTGGAGTAGTGGAGGCTGGGACCAACACCTGGGCTGGCCCCAGCAGCCTTACCTGGGGTCCTGGGCACCTCTGGGGGTGGTGATCCAGCAGCAGGGAGCCTGGCCAGTAGTTGGAGTATAGCTCCAGGCGGCCCAGCTTCAGTTTTGGCCAGTGCATGCTGCTGCCAAATGTACCACCCCGCTTTTTTTAGACATGGGGTTTTTTGACACTGGGATTTCCTGGTGTCAAAAAAACCCATGCACTGCTAATTAGCAGTGTGGTGAATACCTGCACATGTGGTGCGTGAATTATGTGGCACTGTAGACAGGCCTGTGGCTCTGCATACCACATGCGAGCGCTCGTCCAGACACACCCAGAGATTTCAGCTAGGAATTCATAATGTCAAAAATGTTCTGCCCTACTATGGTCTGAGTTCTTTGCAATAGAAGAATTACTCTGTTATTTTTCACTAGTTAAAAAAAACCCCAAGTGAAAACTAAGAGCTGGAATTTTCTGTGGGGTGTTTCAATTCTAACAAGGGTGCATTGAGTTTGTAAAGGTTGAGAATTGCTGTTTTAGACTGAAATAGTGGGTTGTTCAGGCATAAAGACCTAAGTACTTGGTTTCTGAACCCTCCATTCCCCTTACTAGTTGGGCTGCTATTCAGAAGTGTATGAGGTCATGAAAGCAATCAAAATACGTGGTAGGGCATCAGTGTGTCTGTGTTGCAGCTCTTTGGAGCCTGGAGGACAGCAGGCAGGAAAATCACCCAGGCTGGTATTGCTGCCATAAGGGACTCCTTGGAAGCAGGATACATCCCAGTCCTTCATGGGGACTGTGTTCTGGACTCGGAGCAGCACTGTAGTATCTTATCTGGTGACACAATCATTGAGGTGAGAGGAATGGGGGGAGCCCCCAGGCAAAGTGGGGTATGGTGCAATCTAATATTTGCACTTCTGGTTGTCACTAGCGGGTTTTGCCCTGGGGACCCTGTCTACCAGCAGGAGTCATTCCATCTACCCCTTCTTGAATTGCTCTTGGCTTGAAATCATCATAGACATGGTTCTGACCTGTATAGGGAACCTCTGAAAGACCTGATCCCTAGGGAGTCCATATAGGAATCTCCCTAGAAATGTCTTACTTGGATAACTGGACCTCTAGCTTGACTCTCAGTAGCCTCCTAATTATGCAGTAGAGACAGGCCTAATCCAAAATCCTGTCAGAAAGCAACAGAGCTTTCAGTCTAGTACCATCCTGTGATACGTACAATCAGGACAAAATTAGAGTCATCAAACTAGGGCTTAAAGGCACTTGTAATCTATCCTAGTTGAGGGGATAGTCTGGGCTACCCACTGGAAACACAGGCTTTCTGTTCACTGACATATCCCACTTGCCCAACACAAGTTTGAACCCTAAATGCTCAATTTGGACATGGGCAGCAGGCCACAGGGCATGCTGCATGTCTGTATGTGAGATATGGCAGTAAGAACACTGAGAGAGGCTGGCCCTGGACTTGTAATTGAGTACAAGGAAGCCTGATGCTTTATCACTTGTTTTGCATAATTTGCAGGTTCTGTCCCGTGAATTCTCACCGAAGCGAGTGGTGTTTCTCACTGATGTCGATGGAATCTATGATCGTCCACCTGATACCCCAGGTAAGGTATAAAACTTGAAAAGAAAACAGACTGGAGTCTGGTCCTGTCCTGTCCCAATATGTGTTTAATGCTCTGGAATTGGACCCAGGGGACTCAGGGGCTCAATATACTAAGAGCAGAATCCTATTTCACTTCATGCACCTAAATGGCTCATACCCAGTCACATAACTGCCATTTTTTCACTTATGCATTATTTGCAGTTCAGCTCTGGGTGCACTGTGGGCATGTGAGAATCCCCCTGAAAGTGCTCAGTAGGATACAGCTCTGCTCAGGCAGACACCTGGCTCACTACATTCAGCCAAGTAAGTCCCCAAAATGTGGCTGGCCAAAAAACTGCTATGGGGAGGAAATAGGAGGATCCTCCCATAGAATCATAGAAAAATTATGAGGTCATCTAGTCCGACCTCCTGCCCAAAGTGGGACCATCCCCAACTTTATCATCCCAGCCCAATAACCTAGTGTGTAGGGCACTTGCCCAGGCCATGGGAAGGCTGGGGGTGTGAATCTGTACCTCTTGCTTCCCAGCACAGCTTTCTAACCACTAGGCCACATGTTAGGCACATCCAGGCTACTGCCCCACTGCACCCTGCATTTAATAGTTATTGGATAAAGTGGGGAGAGAACAGCAGGGAATCCTGTCCCATTGAGAACAGGAGTCGGACTAGAATTCAAGCCCCCTCTTCCCCAGGATAGCATCAGTATTATTAAGCCACGTGCCCTTTTGGTTTATTTGCATTCTCCTTGTTACATATATCTTCCTCTTGGCTGCCCAGTGGACCAGCTTGATGGGGAGAATTGGAGAGTAGTCTTTGTAACGCCTAATCTGTGGCCTGTCGGTTGGAGCAATGTGGTAGAAATTGCGATGCAGGTTCAAGTTACCTCTGGGTGAGAGCGACCTAGAACACACATCTCTTCCTGCTGCTGTCCTGAGTTTTTTGCTCAGCTATAATTTTGGGGTTTACCTGGGCAAGCATATGGCACCATGTACCTGCACAGCCTGAGTGCAGTCCTGCTGTGTATACCTTAACAGCTGGGGATTCTGCCTGAATTGTTCACTTCTGCATGTTATCCAACTTATCTCACAAATGTAATGAGTTTTGTGACTTGGTAAAACCCTGCAAGACAATTTAGACCTTATCAAGCAAACGTGTAGGGTTTAGCATCTTCCTAAAGGACACAGACTAGAATAGCACAGGGGCTATAAATCAGGATGGAGAAGCATTTGCAAAGCTGTTTGAGAGCCAGGACTAGATGAGTTGGGGAAGCTGTAGGTCAGAACTAAGGTTCATTAATTCATTTGCACCTTTTAATTTAATTTAATTTAATTTAATTTAATTTAATTTAATTTAATTTAATTGTGTGAGGAAAGGTCGTGCTATCCCTCCCCCTCCTTCCAATATCATAACTACAGCTTGATTAAAATATTTTGGCAAATAATTTATTTGTTGAAAAATTTTGAATCAACAGAAAATATTTGCAAATTTGAGTTTAAATCTATAGGAGACTTTTGTTTAAATGCTTTATCTTCCTGTGCCTCTTGCTTGGTGGATGAGGTTATAATGTACCATGTGCTCCTACACTGCCTGTGCTACCGAATTGCCTAATCTTTTAGCACTTTTTATGCCAATTCTGACCTGCAGGCCTGTTTCTTTTCCCAAACAGGTGCCACACTGGTGGATTCCATTGCTGTCAATGCTGATGGAAGCATAGACCCACCTGTGCTCACATCTGCACTGCCACACGATGTAACTGGGGGGCTGGCCCTGAAGTTACAGACTGCAATCAACATAGTTACTCAGAGTAATGGCTCCATCCCTGTGCTGATCTGTAAACTTGAAAGCGAAGTGGCCAAACGAGCCTGTTTAACTGGAGAGCTTAGAACAGGTGAAGGCACAAAACTCTTCCTCCGGCAGACTGAAGAAACCACTTCTGTAATAGCCTCTGGTTGGGCAGGATGATCAGCAAAAATACATTGCAAATATTCACTCCTTAACTTACTCCCGACTTCCATAGGTGCCCCCAGCTAAATGGTGACCCCAGCTAAAATGTCTCTTGGCAGAGGAGTCCTTTCTCCTCATTCATTGGCAATTAGGAGAGTCCAGTTTAGATTTTCATGCATCTGTTCTCTAGCCCAGGCTTGACCTGAATGGTTAAATCCCTTGCTAGTTTTTCTTACATATATCTTTGCTTAAAGAGGCATATAAAGCTACATGGAGAACACAGGTTGTTTTCAGCTGGGAAATGGGCTCAAGCTTTTCTCCTGGGGATTAATAATGTAATGTTAGCACAGTGATTTGATGCTGTGAAACACTGTGTAAATGCCAAGTATTATTTGTGCAATAGAGAGGGAGCTTTCATTCCAATTCTTAGACTATATAATTCATTACAAGCTGATGTGTCCGAAATTCCTTTCTTCTGCTGCAAGCTGCTTGGCCTTCATGTTTCTACTTAAGCATCTCTGCCAAAATGTTAGATTGAGGTGCTTAAATTTTAGTTGCGTAGGTCTATATTCTTAAATAAGAAGTCAAAGCTGTTCACCACTCCTTATCTAGATGCTCACATGAAGTATTCAAGTGCCTCACAGATAATAGCAATCTTTGTCTCACAGGCTGCATCCAGATGAGCGCAGCTGCGTAGTATGTGGTGCCACAGACCACACATTCAGCTGTTCTCCATGCTGCAAGGAACAACATACAGGGGAGTGTTGACCCCTGGATGTCCAGGGGGTCATTCAAACCTGCACAAAAAAAGCAGAGCGGTGCATGCAGGGCATTGCATGTTGCTCAGAATCAGAGCCTGGCTGGCCAAAGCCATGCTCCAGCTGCCGGCCAGGCTCCGAGCAGCAGGCTTGCTGCTGCAGCAGCCCCAGGAGGCCCCCAGAGCCCCAGGTTAGGCTGTTGGGGCCAGCCCAGTGCTGGCCCCAGCCTTCCCTACCCCACCCAGTGTAACCTGCCACACACCAGAGGGCACGTGACATAGGTGTTCCCCGGAGACAGTTAGCTGCAGCACAAGGTGTGCTGCATGTAGTTGTCACCAGGGAATCAAATGTCCATGCTCATGTGGACACGGCCACACTGTCCCTGTGATACAGTTCACATGTATTCCAGTTTTACAGCTGGGGAGGAATGACTCTGAAAGACTAAGGTTCAAGTTTTCAGAAGAGCTTACCACGGGTACACAATTGTGTGCCGTGTACTTTCAGAAATCTAGCTAAGGTGCATCAACCTTGCATTATTTTGCACAATTACAATTTTGATGGTTGTATTCTCTGATGTTCGAGTTTGCTGTGGTATGTCACACAAGCCACGCAAAGCAATCAGAGCTTACTTGTTCGGTAAGTTGAGTTTACAACTGCTTTATATTTCTAGGGCAGAGCAAAGAAGGTGGAGTATGCATCTTTGACTTGCCCTGCCTCCTATTTTCCAGATCCCCCGCCTATCATATTCCTTTGTGTACTCACGCAAGAATATGTGCTATAAACACAGTGCCCTTCTTCCTTTTTTTCATTCTCTTGAGTTGAACTGATGCAAAGAGTAGCTTTGAACAAGAAGGATTTAGGATGAATGGTAATGTCTGGTGTTACTTTTCATAACCAAAAGTTCATTTGGTAGCCATGATTGGTGTGTAAAAATCCTCTACTTTAGAAAAACTGACAGAAAATTGCCTTACTTAAAAAAATACTACCCTCTTCATTTTCTACAATAGGGCTAAGGCTATTAAAGCCCTACGACTTTTTCTTTTCAGTGAAATTGAAGCTAGAAACTACCTTTAAAATATAGACCCTCAGATAATTCTAAACCTAATTTTCCTTTCACTGTGTGTACTGCCAAGTTTCTTCATTTTTCTAGTTTTGGCCAGTGAAAATATGCTAGTAAATTTTGTTTTATCTTTAGTATCTGGTCAGTTCCTTTCCCATGTTCCCATGCTTGAGAAAAGGAACCATTTGTGTTGAGCTTAATAGTTGTAAATGTTTCAGTTTTGCTGCCAAATTTGCCATGAAACTTTTTTTTTTTTTTACTACTTTGCTTTTTGGGAGGAATTATATTGGAAGGAATTATAATGTCGATTTTTATCACAGCCATCAATATTTGTGTTGTATGTAAAACTGGTTGTCGCTTATGGAAAAAACAATGATGATTTAATAGCTGTAGTTACAAAGAGCACCTCAAGAAGGTAACAGATGATGAATGCTTTGTGTACTTGCAGTGTATTTTATTTTAAAAACAAACTAGTTTAGAGGACAGCTGCATTCAGTGTGTGCCCATCTGTGCTGGTCAACAAAACACAAGTGTATGTATACACATTGGTGCATGAATTTTAATTTGACACTTTTTGAAGGAAAAGTAGAATGAAGTAAATTACATCAAATTTAAAAGCCTGTTCAATTAGGGCAAAGACCTAGTCCATGAAGCTATATCCATTAAGTGACATACTGGGCCTGCTCTTCGGCTCATGTAAATCAGCAAAGTTGTCTTAATTTCAGTGGCTGAAGAAGGGTGTTTGTACCTGAAAGCCTGCAAAAGAGAAAATGTCCTGCTATTTTAGTTAGTCTAATAAAAGATATTGTATTTACCTAAAAAAAACCCTTGTCTGCCTATGTCCTTAGACCAACACAGCTACAACCAGCACCAGTGGAACTACAATGATTCACACCAGCAGATCCATCCAATGTGTGCTGTGTATCCTACTGTATTCTCTTATGGAAGACAGCTGAGAAAGATATCACTGGTTCGCTGTAAAAACAATGTCATTTGTATGTCTGAAATACCAGGCATGATTGTACCATTTTAGTTGATATCATTACATTTTCTTAAAAAAGAAACTATAATAAACTAAACAAAGGTCAACATTTAACAAATACAATCGTTTTGGGAACTGACCATGACTGAACCTGTAAAAAAAAGTTATTCAAAATACTGTATTTAGCATTTATAGCACGTGAGGCTCTTCAAAGTACTTTATAAACATGAATCAAAGTGCTAAGAGCTTGATTTTTAAAGGTGCTCAGCTGGAATTGTGAGAACTCTGCACCCCTGAGAGTGCAGCCCTATGTAATTCTGAGACTGTTTTCAAAGCGGATAATTGTGTCAGAGTTTGCTTAAACTATTCCAAGGCTTAGTGGAATGAAAGCTTTTAAGGCCATGCTTGGAGAAGAAATAAGATCTGCAGAAAGTCAGTATTCCAAACTGACCTATGACATGGTGCAGAATAATTTTAATCTCAGATTTGTGCAGCTCCATTGCTGGTATGCACTGAAATAATCATGAATAGGAGGCAGGTTTTATGCATCTGGTTGCCATAAAAAAATATCATCTGCATTTATCACAGGCTAAAAGCTTTGTGGCTGATTTTCACCTACTAAAGGCAGAGGGAGCAAGATTACGTCAGTGAGAGGGAGAAAGTGAGACTGACACAGAGCAGCAGAGAAGGATCCTAGTGACTTGGTTCTAATTCTGCTATTTGGTAGCTAAGTTTCAACTACAAAGGCGTCTTGTGAGCAGCAGCTGCTTCTACAAAACTGGGGAGAAGGGGAACCGGGAAGAAGCAATTATACCAGTGAGTCACATACACAGGTGAGTTCACAGCATCTTTTGCAAATGCAGAACAACGGTGGATCATTGCATGCTGAAAGTATATTTACTCTGACTGACTTGTTACCTTCACTAGACTGAAAAAGATAATCTATAAGCAGTGGTGACCTCTGCTAACCTCTTGTTCATATGAAGAGGGAAAATACATGGACCTTTCATAAAACCACTAAATCCATGGGAGCGCTGCGCGTGAGCCTAAGATACAGTGGCAGGTGAATGGGATTTAGTTTTTCTACCTGGTTTTATTATATTGTTTATATATAATATTATAGGGGTGTGCATGTATCTATCTGTCTCTCTACCTAAAATTTCTAACCTGTATAATTATGTATGGAGTGATTGCTGGATAATGTTCTGGTTTCAGGCAAGAGCTACTTTGTTCCTGCAGTAGGGTGTTGATTTAAAAACAGACTTTGCTGGGAAATACAAACTGTATAAGTGAAATTTGAATTCCCAGAGACTAGATTTCTCTGGCACTTCTCTGCCCATATCAGATACAGTACTGGCCCCAATTAGCTTAGGCTAAGGTCAGTCAAGACAGCCCTAGAAAGATGTTGAAAATAATGTTCAACCCTGAATGGAGGGAAGATAAAGTATTTTGCCATAGATTAGGTGGATTTTGGAATGATTTTTTCAGCATTTATTTCGGTGACAGACACTTAGCACAGTGGAGTGGGAATTGCTATAAGGCAGACATTCAGGACTGAGCTGTATTGCATACGTTGCTGTTGAGAGAGATTTCTGGGTGGGATTGTTCTAATAGTCTAGTCTAGTTCATTTAATATGAATGGCAGCATTTCGTTAACCCCATGTGTGACTGGCAGGAGTTTAGAGAGCGGTCAGGATACCTTATTGCCCTGTCATTAATTTTAGTAAGAGCAGGATAACATCTGACAGAGAACAATGACCATATGGGGCCATATGGGAGTGGCACTGCCAGGCATACTTTCTATACCGATTAAGGCACCACATATCATTTTCTTTAGTATATATGGAAAGAGTGAGAGAAGGGGAGGGTAGCTCTGGCAACATGTCGGGGGTTAATTAACGGCCTTGGTAAGGAGCCCTCATTAAGCTCCCCTGTTTATTTATTTTGTCCCTGAATGGAAAAGTGTAATGCAATCCAATACCCATCAATCCAGTCCCCCCCCAGCACAGGAGTGGTTAGGGACTGGAAGTCAGTCACAAGGGCAGCAATCACAGGGGTGAGGTATGAGTGTCACATTTATAACTGTCCATCTAAATCATGGATCAAGTTGACAAACACCTCCAGTCAGTCATGGATGAAATTATTAATTCAGCTCTGTACAAGGAAATAGAAGGTATTCTGTGTCATGGGAGAGAGCTAATTTATGACTTGGGAGCTGGGTATTGCTACTCCCATGCATTAGGCCTGACTGATTCTGTTCTCATGCTGAGCCATGCTTCACTACAAGCAGTCCTATTCCCTGAAGAGGGATTCATCATATGGCTTTATAAACAGTGATGCCAGAATCTGGCTGTTACTGGTAAAAGTGCCCAACTGACACCCATGGAGACTAAGGGTAATTTTTTATTAATCTTGGTAACTCAAGGTAGGCCCTTCAGGTTTTCAGTGGGGTTGAGCACCAGCATCTTCCACTGGAGTCACTGGGAGACCCTGCTCATTAGCACTTCTGAAAATCATTCAGTTGTATTTAAGTGTCTAGCTACAGGCATCCAAGTTTGAAATTTTTGGCCTACTGTCTTTTATCTACAAACCAAGTACAATGTAATACAATGCTATATAATGTTGGGCAAGGTAGGCTTCTCTCAGCCCATCCAGGCCCATATGCTTTGGAAACATATCTGTAGGTGAAGCAAAATTCTCCCCTTGTGGCCTATTTTACCCTCAACCTCTCCCATAAAATGGCCAGTAAAGTTGCTAATTTATGCCAAAGACATGTTTAGAAAGAATGGGTTTGAGATTACCGGCTAACTGTATACAGTTTACTAGGTTGGCCATGAGGATTTAATGACTTTCAGTTACTAACAACCTTTACTAAATTTGAGCTAATGACACAGAAATCACAAGAATCCTACTCTGTTATTCACCCTCGTGACCATATAGTTCCAAAGAAGTGAACACGGTTTTTCAGCCCAGAGTGATAAAAGGTTCAGTATAACTATGTGAACATCCACCAAATACTCATCCCATGTAGCCCCTAAAAATGTATTTCTTTCCTTCTTTTTTTTTGTGCTCATTTTATTTATGAGGCTCCAGTTCTAGTATCTGGGTGGATTTTTGAAGGTAACCCAAGACATTTGGGTGCCCAGTGAATTGTTCATCCAAATCTGTTAGGTGGCTTTGCCAGTCGCATCCTGAATGTTTTGGACCAAAGTCTTCTCTGATGTAACTCTGACTTTCAGCATAGCTCCTCTAGGGATGAATATGGCCCTATCTATCACCAGAAAACCACAAACCAAATGAGTAGTCCAACACAGCCTGGTGAGAGACCAGGTCATGTACCTGGTCTTATGTTCCAGGGGCTGGCAGGTCCTGGGAGCCTTGTAGACATGACAGCTCTTGGCTTCTTGATGTTGGTTCCTAGCAGCTCTTTTGGGCAATCTGTTGACAAGATCTGGAAGTGGTAATGAATATGCTCATGAGCCAGAATTGAGTTCAGCATGAGGCACTTGAAGGGGAAGAGAGCTAAAGAAAAAACGAAGGTCCAGAAGATTCTCACCTCTAATTAAAATGAAGTTAAATTTAATCTTGGAATGATGCAGGAGATAAGACACTGCCCTGGGACAGTTGCTTTCCCTGATCCTTTTTCACTGACTTGCTTCAGTGGGGGGCACGTGCTCACTTTGAGAAATGCATCTCCTTTGCTCTTAAACTGGTGACTGCTGCTGAATGCATGAGATGCCATCCTGACATTTCGCGGCTTTTCAGTGGCACGCTGGCAGCTCAGCTGCTGTCACGGAGGGGTTAATAGGACTTTGTGGTGGGCGGGTGGAAGACAAGTTGTGAAATGAAAGAAGGTCAGTCTCTTGGAGGGGTTTGCTCTGTCAGATGGTTTCAAGTTATCCCCCTTTTTGCTTGGGATGTTTTGCCCCCAAAACAACTCTGGTAAAACCAGTACTGGAAGTAAGCCAGAGCCCTATTAGGATTGCAATCCAGTGGAGCAAATGGAGTGCAAGTTCCTGGCACCCCTTATGACAAGTTGTGTGTCCAAAAAAAAAAAAAAGGACCTCTTGGTAGCTGAAAGAGAAGCTATGACACTTCTTAATGGGAATTTGGACTATATATCATCAGCAGGATACTTGTCATTTGAGATCAAATCATTGGAAGGGAGACTGCGTAAAGGAAAACATTCCTTACAATGAACAATGGACCAGCTTTTCTGGTTTTACTGCTCATACTAAATAAAAGTGATTTCCCCACTGGTTAAGACAGTTGAACTCCAGTGCTGGGTGAAAGTCCATCAGGCAGGAAGGATGCAGCCAAGTTAAGGAAAGTTAGCTAAGTTCCATGACTTACATGAACCATCGTGGGCTCTGATAGGGCCTCAGGATTTATTCAAGGGCTACTAAAGCAGCAGATGACCAGATAAAGATAGGTAGACTGCTAATCACCAGTGAGATTTAATTCCAGGAGATGATCCCAAGACAGTCACTTAGAGATCTGAGGGTTGGGAAGGGGCTAGAACAGAACCCTTGCTCCACACGTGCAACAGGATTTATTTTCCAGCTGCAGATAGAGGAGCCTGATGTTTGCTCATCTTGGTGCAACTCCTTTGACTTTGGAATGACTTCTGCTTTACAGCACTGCAAATGCAGAATCAGGTGCATTGAGTGGAAACTAGGAGGATTTTGGTTTTAACATCTGCTTTGAATAATCTAGTTTTCACTTTAATTCCTATTGTTTTCCTATAAATTAGAATGATAAATACGATTGAAATGCAATATTCAGTTGTTCTTGTATAAGATATCAGCCGAAGAAATCCTTGCCTCTCAAAATGGTGTTACTAGACGCAGCTACTACTTGTTCTGCCTGTTTCACAGGAGGACTAGAAAAAGAATTCTTCCTGGAGACCATTTTCAAATTTTCCATTTTAATTTGTCTTTTAGAAGGGCTTGGTGCTGGGGTAGGTGGTTTCAGTTTCTAGCAGGACAGGCTTCTCTGACAAACAGTCTTGCCTCCAAGTGCTAGAAGAAAGGTTGCTCTTCGTGATCTTTTGTCTTCATTTTCTCTGTTGTGAGTGCTGGGAGCAGAGGTGGATTTCTATCATGTGCTTTCCTTCACCTTTTCACTAAGAGCTCAGCTGAGACCCACCAAACTGAACTCGCCTAACACAGGCCACCACAGAGTAACGGCAATCAGCTGGTAACAGTAATCATTTCTTTTAAACTGGGGCTGGCCTTGAGTGAGTTGCTTAGAGGTAAAAGGCTCCATACATCACTAACCTTCTGAGTGAGCCACTCCCGCTTTAGCATTTCATATTAGGAAGCAGAAGGGAAAATAAAATGAAAAAACAACCCCCTTGCTGTCATCAAAAGCTGACAGTGATGGGACCCAGACTGAACTAGCTTGTGAGGAGGTGGCTGAGAGTCCTGAACTACTCAAGGCACAAATAATTTGCAGAAAATAAAATGGACCACTTTTCCCACCGTCAAAATCAACCTGTCTTGCATTATAGTTGAAGCTCTCCCTAGTGGGTTAGGGCTCATATTTGGTGTTATTGAAATCAGCAGAGTTTTGGCATTGGCTCCAATAGCAACGGGATATGTGCCAGCAAAGAGCCCAGAGTGTAGTCTGTTTTTGGTTTTAGAGGTGATGGTGCCCAAGAAGGAGAGCAGCTCTGTTGGTTCAATTACCTTTTAACCCTAATTTATTTGTACTATAGCAGGGGTTGTCAACCAGGGGTATGCATACCCCTGGGGGTACTTGGGAAGGCCCCAGGGGGTGCATGGCAGTGGCGTGGAGAAGCAGGAGCATGTGTTCCCTCCACCCCCCTGCT